ATTTGGGGTTGTCGGTTTAGGGTTTAGGGTTTAGGGTTTAGGGTTTAGGGTTTAGGGTTTAGGGTTTAGGGTTTAGGGGTTTAGGGTTTAGGGTTTAGATTGGGATTGTTGGCGTTTTAGGAGGTTGTAGGGGGTTTTAGGGTTCTTGTAGGGTCTTTTAGGGTTTCGGGTTTGGGGGTTTTGAGTTTCGGGTTTAGGGTTTTTGAGGGGTTTTTAGGGTTCGTTTTTTTTTTTAGGGCTCTTAGGGTTTAGGGTGTTTATGGGTTTTAGGGTTTTAGGGTGTTTAGGGCTTGGGTTTTGGGGGCAAGCAGTGCGGCATTCAGGTCATCGAACTACACGGAAAGAACACAGAACCTCGCCGACATGGTGGCATCCTTTATGAAGGCAGAGTCGGGAGTAGAATGTAGGGTTTAGGGTTTAGGGTTTATGGTTTATGGTTTCGGGTTTAGGGTTTAGGGTTTAGGGGCGTTACTAGTTAGAATAGGGTATTCGGGGTTCCTTATTATAAATATAGTATAATATATACCCCCAAACCCTATTCTAATTGTTAAGGCCCCTATATTCGTGTTCTGGGGGTCCAGGGTGGGGCGCTCCGGGGAGCCAGAAATCCTGAAACCCTAAACCCCTAAAGCCTTAAACCCTAAACCCAAATCCCCGAAACCCTAAACCCCTAAACCCTAAACCTCATTTCCAGTCACATCCTGTTGTCTATCTTGACTTCGGGACGCTATAGGTTCTGGATGGCTTAGATTCGTGATTTTGGATTTGGGTAGTTCTCTAAATTAGGGTCCCTTTCAGGGTCCTTTTTACAAGGGTGCTGTACTATATTGGGGACCTAAATAAATAGGGACCCTAATTTAGAGAACGACCCATTTAGAGTTTAGAGGTTTGGTTCAGAGTTTGAGATTCAGGATTTGGGCTTTCGGGATTTAGGGTCAAAGATGTAGTTTGCAGGAGTTACGTTGTAGGAGAGCTTAAGGTTTCAAGGGCAACTCTCACAGACTAATCCTACAAAAACCTTAACCCCAAGCCCCTAACCCCTAAACCCCAAAATCCTACAACAAAAACCAAAAGCCGAACTTGCCTGATCTTCTGCCGCGGAGGCGCTGACGGGGCAGCGCGAATCCATGAACTTGAAACTGGGGCTCTTTCGAACTCTTTTTCATCACGGGTTCGGGTTGGAGGGGGCGGCGTTTAGGGTTTAGGGTTTAGGGTTTAGGGGCGGATATTTCTTTGTTCTTTACTATGAGCTAACAGCTCCTGTGTAACCGGAAGCTCGAAGTGTCTGTTGGCGATGAGCTTGACTACGAAGGAAGCTTGAAGAGCTAGCAGAGCACATCGATGCATTGTCGAAGAGCGATGACCAATGATCGACAGGACTGTGGTGGGTGGACAACCTTTTACCGAATCCTCACGTGCAGAACTACACAGATCCGTGTCCCCGAAAGCCGAAAGCCGTGTTTAAGGCAATGAGTCAGAGGCATCCCTGATAGAGCATCCCTGCTAGCGAGTGCCCGTTGCCCAAAGTGGCGAAGGCACGGAAGATGTGTCTTCGAGTCAGGGCCCTGCGCAGAGAAAAGCATCTTCCGCGTTGGGGTCCCTTCTTTTTCTGAAGCTAAACCCTAAACCCTACACCCTAAACCCTAAACCCTAAACCCTAAACATGTTGAGAGGCTTGATTGCGGGATGTGCGATCCTGGGCCGCTGGAGTGCCGGTGTTGTCTTGATCCTTGAGCTGTCAGTCGGCCAGTCTTCCTAAGCCATAAAAACCCCACATCTCGAGATTACCGAACCCGAAATCATGAAACCCCAAAGCCTTAGCACCCTCAAGCCGAAACCGATCTTCCGACTCAACAGGAGGAAAAGGAGCCCTCAACAAGGAAACCACCCAAATTCACCCCTAAACCCTTAAAGGCCCGACCTTCAAACCCTAAACCCTAAACCCTAAGCCCGAAACCCTAAACCCTAAACCCTAAACTCTATACCCCTAAACCTTAAACCCTAAACACCCAGGGAGTCTCGAATGCCAGGTCGGCAGGCAATCTGCGACCTGATCTCCGCCGATCTCATGGGGCCGGCTGAACCCTTCCTTCGCCTGAGAGTTTAGGGGTTTAGGGGTTTTAGGGTTTAGGGTTTAGGGTTTAGGGTTTAGGGTTTAGGGGTTTAGGGTTTAGGGGTTTAGGGGTTTTAGCGGTTTGGGTTTGGGGGTTCAGGGTTT